GGCATCCAGGAGCTTCACAGTTTACGCCTTCTGATGTGGTGAATCCACTGTTTAGGCCTGGTTAGTTCAGTGCTTCAGACTCACTCAGGTTGATCCAAATGGTTGACTATATACCCAATTACTAGGCATGGCTGGAGCACTGTTCTTTTTAAAATATGTCACCATTTGATTCTGACTCATGTCAACTCTGTATGTCCCGAATAGGGTTTTCAAGGCTGTGAACTATTAAGGAGCTGATCACGAGACCTGTCTTATAAGGTGCGTTTGGGTAGGCTTGAACATCTTAAACCGTGCTGGTAGTTAAAGTCTAAACTGTTTGTTCTACTTGCTGGATCCCTCTGCTCTTTCAAATCACATGGATCTCAAGACAAAAGACAGCTGATAAATAATGCATGTACCAAGAAGCACTGTGATCATCTCTCTTAAAAAGTCCCCGCACATGATTAGAATGCTAAAGACATTTCCTCATATACAGAAAAGCTCATTAGAAGACTAATGTGCAGACATTAGCAAAGCAGCTGAGGGAGAAAAAGGACAATTCATTCAATGAGTAGTTTGATGGTGATTTAACCAGTAACACCTCTTTAAACAGCACATCATGAATGGAGGTAGCAGCTTGATCTCTCCACTCAGTTGTCAAGTGGAAGCTAGAAACTAGACCCCTAGTCTGTGGTCAAGGGTCTACACAATGTTCTGCATTTATAAAAATAGACACCAGTCCTCATTCTAAGGGGCCAGCATTTTGGTCCCTTGTTCAAGCCAGGTCATTGTGCAGCCCTTAAGCATAATGCACACAGGATGAAGAACTCTTCAGCCAAGGCAGTAATCGTAGCCCTTTGAAAAAGCATCAAGATTCTGGCAATAGTCAGTTCTACAAGATGAGCATTATTAATTGATTTGGGTGCAGCCAACACATTTTTTTTTTGTAAACAGACTTAATGGACCAGGCATAATACTCTATTCAGCCTTATTTTGACAACACTGTAATTTAGAGCAATTTAGATTGGCGTAGACTAATAGGCCAAGCCAGCCACGCTATGATCAAAGCCTCCAGGGGGACTGTTCTGGCTTTTTGTTGACGTGACCACATCCATATCACTGATGTGTGATGGTATGCACATGGCATATGTGACATGCATGTGACATATCAGCAACACACCTGCATTCATTAGTACCTGTATGTCCCTCACACGCACACATTTTCTTTTACCTTATTATCCTTTTGTTGTCTTGTTTTTAGCCCTGTCTCTCCTATTTGTATAAACAAGCCTATCCTGAAGGGAGTGACGAGGTGTTCCTTAGAGGCAAAGACGGTAAAACTTCATCTCATACTTGGAGCATGTTGTCAAGAGGGGCCAGACCTTGGGAAAAGATATCATGCTGGGAAAGGTGGAGGACCCGAGAATGAGAGGAAGGCTCAGCACATGGATTGACACAGTGACAGTGACAATGGGCTCAAGCATATCACAGATGGTTAGGACAGTGCGGGATAGGACAAGGTCTAGATCTGTTGTTCACAGGACAACTACAACTCAATGGCACCCCATAACATCTCTTAACTGCCTTAAAGTTCTTAAAAATAGAGATGATACTTTCTATTTAATTTAAATTTTCCTTCCAGACGCCAAAGAACAATTTTCCTATAAAAATATCCAGAAGCTAAACAAACTTGTGATATTGAGTTAATGAAATAGTTTTGGAAATAAGTTTACTGGTGCTGCTTGTGTTCAAATGAGCCTGCTTCCACGTAGTTGTCTTCAGGACAACCCCTTCGTTCACACAATGTTTACAATTCCTCACATAATGCTTGCAGATCACCTTTCTGGGTTATATCTACAAAGTAATATCATTTATGTATAGTCAAATGTCACTCGTTAAACACAAAGGTTTTAGGCTAATTGGTCATATCACTCTCATTGTCTGAAAGCAAATGTTTAATCCACTTTCTAAAAGGATAATTCCCAAGAAGAGTTCCTAGAATGTTCTAGTCAATGGCCTAGTCACCACTGGTCTAGACAATGTGTGAATTTGCAAGGAAACTACTAAGACATCAGAATCCATCTGAAAATCCTAGCCTGTTAATGTTCAAGAGTTAATTTATTTCCCAAACACCCTGCAGGGCACTGGCTAAAGTAAGCATCATGATTTTGTCACTGGGTGCTGTTAGGTCCACGCTGACCTATAGTGACCCTGTGTGCAACAGAACAAACCCCGGCCAGAGCCTGCATCGTCCTCCCAATCTATACTGTGCTGAAGCCCAGCAGTGCATCACCGTGACCAGAAGAGGCCCTTGGGTCTACAGGGCTTTGGGAGAAGAAGGATTCTACTCTCATCCTGTGTTATGGCTGAAGTTATGTCCACTGAAAGGATATGTGTTAATTTGATTAGACCAAGGTTCTATTATGTAATTCTCCTCCATTTCATGATTGGATGTAATTATGCCACGCTGGTCTGCTAATGAAAGTGTCTGCAGGTCAAATCCAACAACCACTCCCCAAAAAGGAAGACGAAGCAGCTGAGTCACATTAAGATGCACAGCCTGACAAACTCAATGGGGTAATTCTATTCTGTGCATTGGACTGCTGTGAGCCAGAAATGAGTCTGTTGTAATTAGTTTGGATTTTGAGGGAGGATTATAATCTACCGGATTAGGTTGTATATTAAGTAATTTTCTTTTGAGATATAAAAGACATTAAACAATGGAGCAGAAATTAAAGGGACCTAATTATCACCACCACCACTACCACCACCACCACCACAACAGCATAGAGAGAGATCAATTGGCCTAGTGGACAGAAAGTGATGCTATCAAGTCAAAGTTGGGTGACTTTTATCTGTGGCCCTCAGAAATGTTTTGGGCAAACATTCTTCTATGTCGAATAGCCCTGGTCTGTCCACTTGCTGTACAGAGGTAACTCTTGGTTGCTGTGATGTTACAGTACACTGTGACACTGATGTGTTAAATGTGATAATGGTTATCCATGGTGGACAGTGTTTGGTGGAGCTCCCCGATTAAAACAAGCTTGGAAGCAGAAGTGGCATGCACTTCTAAAATTGCTTGCCTCTGGAAACTCTATGAATGTGGAGAAACCATGAAAGTTATACAAGTGTCCAGGTTTTTCATAAAAACCTTCTAGAGCCAAGGGAAGATTGATGAGGAGGACATTTTCCAGAGACTATGAAGAAATAAAGCCTTTTCCTAGTGCTGGCATTTGATTTTTCTAGCTTGCTAAACTTCAAGAGAATAACTTCTGTTTGTTAAAGCCACCTACTTGTATTTCTGTTACAGCAGCACTAGGTAACTAAGACCCTATCACTCGGTGATATGACAGAGACTGGTAGTGCCAGTTTCCATGGTAAACTAAAGAAAATGGAATATTTCTGAGTTTGCAATAACCTTTGAGCCCACTGATTTCTAATTATACTCAAAGAATTAGATCCAATTAATTGTGGGAGTGTGCAGCACCTATTTAAACTTTCATAGCTAATGACAGTTAATGTCTTAAAGATGACTCAGCCTTGGCCTTGACATATACCGAATGAATGGATGATTTGAGAGGGCAGTTGCAAATATGTTTACCATCCGACCATTAGGGAAATACTCCTTTGGGCTTGCCTAACTGAGGTGTTTTATGCCAGGAATGCTGCCTTAGATGAAGTATAGCCCGAGTGCTCCTCTGAAATCATGGTATTGAGACTCTGCCTCATGTATTTTCAACATGTTATCAGGAAAGGCCACTCACTGGCGGGAGACATCATGTGTGGAAAAGCAGAGGGGCTGCTGAAAAAGAGGAAAATCCTCAATGAGATGATCAGACATGATGGCTGTAACAATGGGCTTTAGCACGTCATAGACTGTGAGGCTAGTGCAGGGCTTCATTCTGCTGCACAGAGTTGTTAAGAGTTAGGGTTGGCTTGATGGCACCAAACGACAACTACCACTGTGACATGCTGATAGATTTTTAACAGACTATCCCTTGGGATAAAATGGGGAACTTTCCTTAGTTAGCAACCAATGATTTAACAAGGGCTAAGCAAACATCGTGATTCTCCAGTGGCTTGCTGCTATTGTTCAGTGCCATTAAATGCAATTCATAGAAACCCTACGAACATCCCTGCCCTATCCTGTGCCATTCTCATCATCTCTGACACAATAGATCCCATTGCTGAAGTTACCATGTCAATGGGGTCCTCTCTTCCTTCACTGACCCACTATCTTTCCAAGCATGATATCTCTTTCCAAGGAATAGCCTCAGCCAGCTCTATGTCCAGAGTATGAACGATGAAGCTTTGACATCTTTGACTCCAAGAAGCACTCTGGTTGCACTTTTCCCAAGACTTATGGGTTCTTTTGGCATTCCAAGGGATAGTCAGTACTCTTCTCCAACACCAGAACTCAAAGGCACCAAATCCTCTGTAATCCTTATTGATGGTCCAAATTTCTGATGAGTAGCAGGTGACTGAGAAGACCATCAGGCACCTGAACCAAGAGCACCTCAGTCTTACAACTGATATCATTGCTCTTCACCATTTTTGAGAGGTTCCTGGCAAGGTTGCTATCTGGTGCTTAGTGGTAAGGAACCGAGTTGCTGATGCAAAGGTACACAGTTCAAATACATCAGCTACTCCAAGGGGAAATAGATGCCTCCCATGTGATTGACCTCCTTGGAAAACCCACTGGAGCGTCAACCATGGGTCGGTTCCAACTTAATGGCATGTAACAAGAAGAATCAAACATCATGAGAACACATCAGTTGCTTCTTGAAAGCCTGCCTGGGTGGGCTACAGTATATTCCTAGAAGCCATTTACCCCTAGACACGTGAGAACAAGAACCAGTAAGGATGGAAAACAAGTGAGATGGGACACCGGGTGCTGGAAGATTCAGGGAACAGGGCAAAGGTGATAGTTGTGGGTTAGCACGTTAAGACCACTTTGAATTAGCTAATGGAAAGAAACAAATGGTGGCTGATACGTCTTTCCCACAGAACCTCCAACACACCTCGCTCCAGTTGCCCACAGTCCAGTCCGATGGACACAAGATGTCTCTGTTGCAGGATACAAGGGGCTTGGGCTTCAGCAGATGCTGGCAATCTGTAGCTGGGAGAGCCTGCTCATCAGAGCCCATAGTCTGGATACACAGGACCGTCCGCTTCTTCTCACCATGGGGTCCACAGGTTGCTGAACATGCTTCCCACTCCCCAGCCCACCACCTGTGGACAGACAATAATAAATAAAGGAAGATCACCAAAAATGCATAAATATTCTACTCAGCCAAGTGGAAAGAGAATAAACCAGATACAAAAACTCAATGTACCTTTAGTACCAGCAGTCAGGAGATCTAGAGATATATAGCACTGGGGAAGTCTGCTGTCAGACTTGCGCCAAAGTCCTGAAGAGCAATGATGTCAGTTAAAAGACTAAGATGCACCTGATTCAACCACCTACATACATCTGAAAGCTGGACAATTAATACGAATTATAGAAGAAACGATGCTTTTGAGTTGTGGTGTTGGAGAAAAGTACTAAATAGCTCATGGAGCACCAGCAGCATAAGCAGAGGTCTTGGAGAAAGTGCAACCAGAGTGTTCCTTGGAAGCAATCATTTTGAAGCTTCATCTCACATATTTGGAGCATGTTGTTAGAAAGGGTCATTCCTTGGAGAAGGACATCATGCTTGGAAAGTCAGCAAAAGAGAGAATGACTCTCAATAAGATGGACTGATACAGTGTTAGCTGCAATGGGCTTACGTGTGTCAGAGGTGATAAGGATGGTGGAGGATAGGACAGCGTTCAGACCTGTTGTTCATATACATCTCTATGACTTGTACTTGACTCAAAGACACATGACAACAACAAACAGAAGCCCAAAGTTACAGAGCTGGCCAGTACTGAAAAATGCCCCAGCCCATTAGAGGGCACTCTATGTGGAGGACTCATTCAATCAATGCCCCTTTAAGTAAGTTAACCAACTTTTCTGAGTTTCACTCTCCTCACCTGTTAAACGAGTATAAAAATAAAGCTTTTATGTGAGTGTCATAGATTGAATGAAATACCACACCATGTAAAATGCATGGCATAGAGCCTGACATATGATTCAAAATGAAAGTATTTTTTATCATTTGTTGTTATTTTGACTATACCTGTTGGACTATACCTGTTGTTATTTTGACTATACCTGTTGGACTCCCAAAAGAACAAACAAGTCTGTCTCAGAAGAATTGCAATCAGAATGCTCTTTAGAGGCGAGAATAGTGAAACTCGGTCTTACAGACTTTGGGCATTTTGTCAGAAAGGTCTAGTCCTTGAGAAGGACATTATGCTGGGAAAGGTGGGTGATCAGAGAAAGAGAAGAAAACCCCCAATAAGATGAACTGACAGAGTGACTGTAACAATGGGTCTATCAAAGAAGGTGAGGATGAGGCAAAATTCGGCTCTCTTGCTCCTAGGGTTGCTAGGAGCGGTAGCTGACTTGATAGCACCTAATGACAACAACAACACTGAGCGGAGGAATCCAATTAGAATTTCACTCACGCATTGTGGTCAAATTGGCCTGACTCCCAGCTCACTCTCCGGGGGTTACAGAAGGCTGGAAATCACATGGGAGGCTATTTCTCATCTTCCTCCCAAAGAGCAGCTGGTGGATTTGAGCTGTCAGAAAAGTGCCACCACTGGGTTAGCAGCACAACTGCCTGCAGAATACGCCACCAGAATGCTCTGCTAGTCCAGCGTGAAGAAGACCCTAATCATTCAACCATTTTTAGTTATTCAGGAAAGGGTCAACCAAGGAATTTGCTTTCTATTTTATTTATTTATTTATTTTACATTTTAAAATCGACCTGTTCTTGAGTTCACATGTCTTTTATGAGACAGGAGTAACAGCAGAAGAATATGTACATATATATCAGAATTTATTTGCCAAGTTAATGTTGAAGTCATTACCTAAAGTCAACATTCTTGACTTCCTGTGGGAAAACCTAACAAATAGCCATGTGTTTCATGTGTTTGCCCTCTTATTATAGATGACTGGTGCAGGGATAAAGGATGTGTGCCAAGTGGCCGCAAAGGAAGGGCTTTTCAAAACGGCAGGGAGTCCTCTCCATTCTTCCCTTATTATTGTGTATCATTGTCAGGACCAACTCATAGCTGGCCCTCCAGTAGGTTTTCAGAGACTGATTCTGGGTTGGTAATGAGATTCTTTACTCACTAGGCTACTAAAGCTCTCTGCTTGAATAATAGGTCTTATGAATATTAAGATTTATTGAGAAACCTTCCTTGTTTTAATGGAAACTTTGAAAGACATCTTTCCTCAGTTCTATTATAATACATTATACATTTAGGAAAAATGTCATGGAGATTAATGATATGTCGTTTGGTGTTTAAGATCTGCCTGTGGTGTGTGGAGAAACTGGAACCCTTACTCACTGTTGGTGGGAGTGTAAAATGGTGCAATCACTGTGGAAAGCGGTATGGCGCTTTCTCAAAAAGTTGCAAATAGAGATACCATTTGACCCAGCAATTCCAATACTGGGAATATATCCTAAAGAGACCATAACTGACATCCAAGCAGATATATGCACACCCATGTTCATTGCGGCTTTGTTCACAATAGCTAGGAGTTGGAAACAACATAAGTGCCCATCAACAAACGAATGGATAGAGAAGCTGTGGTGTATTCACACAATGGAATACTATGCTGCATTGAAAGATAAGGAACTCATGAAATATTATTTAAAATGGGTGACCCTGGAGGACATTATGCTGAGTAAAATATCTCAGTCACAAAAGGACATATACTGCATGGTGCCACTGTTGTAGAAAGTGACTGACATCAGGGTTGGGGTAAAACTGAGAAAAACTGGATCGATTATGTACACTGAATTGAAACAAATGAGGGAGAGAGCAGTTTAAGAGTGATATATGATAGCATATTATGATTATCACAGGAATCCAGAATTAAGGTTGCATAGTGGAGTGCATTTGGGGCAGGGTTGCGGAAGGGGGCAGGGAGCAGAGAACTGGGGGGGAGGGGGATAAAGAAAAAAAGTGTTAACAATGAATGAATGAAAATCCAAAATCTCTGTAAATGTTCATTAAAATTAATAAAAACAAACAAACAAACTCAACTGATATTAGAACCTTCTGCTGTAGACACAGGTACAGTGAGACTTAATCTCATGGGTTTTGGACATGTTATGAGGAGGGATTGGTCCTTGGAGAAAGGTATCGTGTTTTGTATAGTAGAAGGTAAGTGAAAAGGAGGACCTTCAAATAGATGGACACAATGGTTCTGTAAGAATGAACTCAAGGATAGTAATGGTTGTGGGGGTGGCCTGGGGACCGGGCACTATTTGGTTTGATTGTATGTACACTGGGTTGCTATGAGTTGGAATCAACTTGATGGCACCTAACAGCAACAGCAACAGCATGATATACAAGAATATGAATGTCCACTGTATTTGTTTAATTATTTTGTCCAGCCTTTGACATTTCCAAGGACAACCAGGCTTACTATCAACTATAGGAAATGTCATTGTGGAAGGGTCTTAATCTGAGCCAACAGAAAATCTGATTTGTCTAATTACTTGCCTCAGGGCTATCAGCTGTGTCATCACAGAGGGAGCATAAACTTCCTTGTTTTTGCTCCCTGGAGTTTCTGTCATAGTGCCCTGCGGACATTGTGCATATGCTTGTCACAAAGTGAAAAGTACCCTCTTCATCTCCCTGCAAAGATTCCTCATGCTCAGAACTCAGGAGTTATATGATGCAAGTGTCCGTCTTGTCTCACTTTTGGTGCCTGCCATGATTCCTCTAGCAGATACATAGCAAGAGAGATTGCTAGTCTTTCTTCCTTGGAGCAACTGGTGGACTTGAACTACCTGACTTTGAGCCAGCGGCAAAACTCATCACCCATTTGTTGTTATTGTTGTTGATTGCCATTGAGTCAGGTTGACTCATAGAGATTCTGTGAACTCAGCTATCATTGTTTCTCCAAGTTCAAAGAGTTTCCAGAGGCATGTGGTTTAGGAAGTGGATGTCACTCCTGCTTTCCAACCGGTTTTACAACTGGGAGCTCCACCATTACCCATTAGGGCATTAAAATAAAGTGCTCTGAGTGACTGGTAAGAAGAGAGTATCATATGCAAAGGACTCAGAGAATCAGAAGACTCAGCCCCTTCCAAGGCAATCTCTTTAGTTTAATCAGCAAAGTATTAACAAAAATATAATTTGACGTTTTCCCCCAGTTTTGCCACTGATCTTTCTTTTATGCGATGTGACACCTAACACACTTCACACACAATTGAATAATTCATCACGCATTATCTTTTTGCCTTTTTCGCCTGCAACTCAATGCCACTTAGCAGCAATAACATCAACATAGAGAGAGATCAGCTGGCCCAGTGGACAGAAAGCGATGCTACCAAGCCAAATGTGGGTGAGTTTGAATTCAAAGCCCTTGGGCCTGTCTTTCATTGCTTTTGTTCAGACATTCCTCTAGGTCGTATAGCCCTGGTGTACAAGTTGCCGTACAGTGGTAACTTGTGGTTGCTGTGAGGCTGAACAATGTGACACTGATGTGTCAAATGTGTTAACGGTTGGTTACCCAATGAAGACAGAGAGCGTGGTGGAGCTACCTGATTAAAACAAGCTTGGAAGGAGGAGTGGTATCCACTTCCATACTAGCTTGCCTCTGGAAACCCTATGAACATGGAGAGAGGATGAAAGACACCCAAGCGTTGAGGATTCTCCTTCATAGGGTTGCTATGAGTCGTCTGTGACTCAAAGGCACTTAACAACAACAACAATTATCCTTTTGAATACTTCTTTAATTCCTACATTCGAGTTCAGAGTTCATCTTATCCTCCTTACAAAGGCAACATTCTAAGGAAGGACTGGGGCTCTATCTGTGATTCTCAACATAGCAACAACTGGAGAGCTTAAAAAAATTGTCAGTGTTGACATCCCACTGGCAGACCAATTGAGTTGCTATCTCCTGGGGGTAGGACAAAGACAGTCAGTCATGTTTCTAATACGTTTCTGTATGATTTTTTAAAAATTTACATCCAGAATTGAAAACCACTAGTCTTATTAGTAGTAAAGAATTGAATTGGACTGATTTAGCTCTAGTGGTAGAATGTAAGTTGTGCACAATATAGAACTAACTAACTTCCTTTCCTCCCTTCCTTCCTTCCTTCCTTCCTTCCTTCCTTCCT